GTGAATAGACATTAAACCTGAATTTTTAACCAATAATGGCAGTAGCCTACAAAGCAGAGATGGATCAGTGGCTAGTATTAACTTTGGTAATACCTCACCATTAGTTCATTCTCCTTATGAGTCTGTTGATCTGATCTTCTCTGTTACCAGCATCCCCACCTTCCACGAAGTGGATTGTTTTCTTCTTCATTCCACCCCGAGGAGAGGATAACTTGAAGGGCCAAAGGAAGTTGTTCACAACTTTGAAGTTCTTGCCAACAGTGTAAATTTCATGGATCACATCTTCCATGCAGATGATGCCAAGCTTCCCTAAAATTCAGAAACATTATTTTCAGAAAGGCTACAAAGCCACTGGTCAGTAACAAGCTAAAAATTATCAGGCTATTATTGTCCTATCTCCTTATTTTGATAAGCTTCAGGAAGTCAGGAAGCACCTGCTCTGTCACGACACCCATGACTGACTTTTCCAATTAAAATGGATTCACTGCAGCCAACTCAACATTATTTAGTGGTTACATTTGCCCAGAGGCATCAGTTTCAGCTGGGGAGTATTTGTAGTCAGCAATGAGGAACAACAAAAAACAAACCCCACTTAATGAATCCTAGGAAAATAGACTGTGTTCTTTGAAGAAAAGCTAGATTAAATATGCTTAAACCATAGTTATGTGTAGCTCAGGGAAATTCACTGAACTACTTATGTTGTTGAATAACGCAATAGCGTGTTTCCTTAATGCCTTTCCAGAGTCTTCAGTGACATGTTACCTAACTGCTCATAAAATACAGTGCTAAAAAGGAAAGTGATTATAGCGTAATACTTCCACCTTTAGAATCTGATTATCTATTGCACTGGAAAAGGAACAAACATGACAGCCTAGTTTGAAGTGATACACAAATCAAGTGCTTTCATTCCTGGCATGAATGGAAGAGAAGGAGCCTCCTAGAGCAGTCTATTTCCTGACAACTGACCCCCATGAGTTTTTTTTGTTTTGTTCGGGGTTTTTGTTTGTTTGTTTTTTAACTAAATACACTAATCACTTTTACTAGATAGTTCTTCTGGCAGGAAGTTTAAAAAGTCTGTTTCCCAGACCATGAAGGTCTAAGAAACAATGTCTAATATTAAGTTTGAAACTTCAAAGGTATGTATAGTAAGCTTTTTTCCTGTTGCAGCACCTTTTCATTACTGAAAGATCTACTGACCTACTAGAGATCAAGGAGCTTACATTTAAAATTACAAATTTAAAACACTAAAATTTGTTTCTTTACACTGGTTTTCAGTACTTTGTAACAAGTTACTTCCAGCTTGCTTTGTATTAAGCTATTAAGGCAGAAGCAGAGATTATTAACCAATCACTACTATTCTCCAGAGACAAATAAGGATAGTTGTCCAGCTCTGCACTAATCATCCAAATGCAACAAGTTGTTTTCTTGTTTTAAGTGAAGCAGTATTTACCAAGGCGTTTCTGAATCAGGGAATTATCAGTAAGAGCAATGCGCTGCTTGTTGATCTTGCCATAACCACGCTTGTAGATCAATTCATGCACAGACTTCAGATTGGGATAACTGAAACAGTCAATTAAAAAAAAAAAAAAAGAATTGTAAGTCTTTGCAAGCCACATTCCAATTTAACATCCCCAAAGGAAACTTCAATAACAATCAATTTAAGATCATTTCAGCACGTCCCAAATGTAAATACAAAAGCAACAAAGAAGCAAATCTTACTCACACCAAGTTCTCTAGAACACTAGTATGAGAGTGTAATCGTACCTAGCAAGCATTATCTTTTAAAGCACTGCCTTAATCACATTTTCAATTCAAAGCAGAGAAAGCACACAGGATATAAAAAGATTTAGAACACAAGGGAAACCTGCAGGTCTAGAGTAGCAAACTGCAAAAGGGGCTCAACATTTGCACCCTGATTCGACAAAACTGGCTATTTCACTCACCCCCATGCAATATAGGGTTCAACAATCCGCAACATGTTGATAGAAGCTTTGTTGAGTTTTACAAACGTGCCATTAAAAATCTGACGCAGGCGAAGAAGCTGCAACACCTTGCGAACCTTAGGGCTGACACCATTGGTACTAGAGAACACAGGAAAAAAGCCTCAATTATCTACATCCCAGAAAACACCAAATATCAGGTTAAAAAAACCACAATAGTATAGTTCCCATATGAAACGCATCACTATTTTACCAGTTACACAAAGCAAGCTTAGTAAATTATTTACTATCTCCATATATTTCAGTATTAAGTTAAAACAGATCTATTTCCATGAAAAGAATTGAAATAAGCATTATACTGAAACAATTTAGAACTATCCTTGTGCTCTCCTGAACATAATTCTTCCAATCACACCTTCTGTTAGCATTCTGTAACACTTTACCAAAGGAGAGTTAAACACTTCAAAGCTTAGCAGAATGTGAAGGAATACCAGCACGTAATTTTTATCGAGATTAAGGTGAAACAGAACAACTGTCTGCACATATGTGTAGCCTTGTCGCCTTCTTAAAAATCAGGGATTCCTAAAGACAGTAGACAGAACCATTGTAATGATTTTGCACTTAATTAAATAAGCCTCTGGTGCAGGTACAACATACTGCCAACAACTCCCCAAGCCACCAGTGGAAGGCTTGATTTTATTTACATATGTAAGCCCTCAAAACAGACAGATAACAGGAAAGCCGATTTCAATGCTTTTGAACATGAAATTGTTTACACCTACGTTCAATCTTACCCTCTTATCCTGATCACAAATGCCAGTTTTGGTTCTGCTGGAACGTAGTAATTGCCAGCTTTTCGGGCCATCCTGGCCATACGGATCTCCTGCCTATACATGTGCCTGTACTCCTTGTGGTAAGCTTGGGCTCTTGCATAGATGAGTTTTCTTTGTGTCTTACGGAACTGAAATCAATTGAAAATTACTTAAGATTACATTAAACCTATTAATACATGAAAATCACCTTCAAATAACGTACCATATTCTAGAACTTCCCAGAAATAACACAGATTAAAAGAATCACTCTCAGTGACAGTCCAGAGAATCTGGAAGACTGTTACGCATCAGGGCTGCTTTACCTTTAACAATGTTATCATGCACCAAGCTTACTCTCACAAAGGCTATACTCTTTCCCTAGTAAAAGACTTACTTTAATCTTATAGACAACTGTACACTTTGCCTTTAACTCTGCCTAGAACTGGTTTGGCATTGACAAAAAAACCCCCATACTTTACTCCAAAACATTAAGAAAATACCAACACACTAGACCTAAATATTGTAAACTTCTGTAATGCAATACATCAGCAGTACTAGCCAATACATCAGCAGTACTAGCCAATACATCAGCAGTACTAGCCAGTATTGCAACAGATATGCAATTCAAGTTAAGGAGTCATGAAATATTCACCTTTTTTATAGCCAACATCTTCTTCTGACGTTTGGCTTTTATAGCTGCATAAGCCTGCCGCTTTTTCAGCAGGCTTTCTGGTACAGATGGCACCTTCTTCGCGCTAAATGAAAAGAGGGAAAAAAACAAAAAAACAACCAACTCTTTTAGCCGATACGAAGAAACTGGTCTTTAAAGTTACACATGACAAACACCAATGCAAACTCTTAACGCAACGCGTATGCAGGCCTCACTGCCTCGAGCCAGCTCATCAAGGCATCTTCCTTGTTCCTACTGTTACGAGACCTCGATGCAGCCTGAACAGATCACCTTTTATACTAGACAAGGAAATCTGACAGACTAGCTGTTGAACTGCACACACCCTACGTACACTACCGCAAAGACTAAGAGGGCTTGAGTGACAAGAAGTTTTTACCCTAGTTTGCTACAGCCCAATGTGTAATAAAACAAAGTGTGTTTCAAGCACATCTCTTTCAGATCAATAAATGTTCCAACAGGTACTTTAAGAGAAAAATTAGCTTAGCAGTATTCTGAAATTTATTTCACAGGACTTCAAACTTACTGAGGTTTTAAACTCATAGATGCGACAAAACTTGCAAGACCAGTGCGTACTGAGCCGGAATTACCCGGGCGAGCTCCTACCCTAAGCCCGCCCGGCTATGTCGCCTACTCAAGCCGCACACCGCTCTGCGCACCCTAGCGCGGCACTGACCGCCCGCCCGCCCTGCCGGCAGAAACTTTGCCGCCCCAGGTCCCTCGCCCCCAAAAACGGCGCTTAGGGGCCAGCTCTCCCTCCCCACCCGACCGAGGGCCGGCGGGGAAGCAACCGCCGCCTGCGGAAGGGACACGACCGGCGGCGACTGCATCCCCGCCGCGCCGGGCCCTCCCCTACCGCCCCTCCCGGCCCCAGCCCACTTGAGCCCCCTCCCGCGTCGCCGGCGGCGGCCTGGCGACCGGGGAGCGGTGGGCAGCATCCCGATGGCGGGGGCACGGAGCAGGCACCGCCGCAGCCGCCGATGGCGGCGGATTATCCTAGGGTAGGACGGCCACTTACTCCTTCTCCGCCATGATGAGCGCCGGAAGAGAGAGGGCGGGCGCATGCGCGGGGCCGACTTAACCCGCCTGCCTGCGCAGGCAGGGCCCTGGGCGCCGGAAGGACCCCGGGTTTGGGCGTCCGCGGCGGCGCCTGACCGCGGTGCGGGCGCCGGGGTGGCCGGCGAGTGCCTGAGGTAAGAGCGCCCGGGAGCCGCCCTCCGGCCGGCGGGGCCGGGCCGGGCCTGGTTTGGCTGCGTCCGGGGCCGGGCGGGAGCCGCTCCGTCCTCAAACCCCGCATTCCCCGCAGGAGGCTGCGGGCACGCTCTGCGGAGAGCCGGGGCGGCGGCGGCGCCGCCAGGCATCTCGTGTAATGCAGGGTTTCCCCCGTTTCGGCCTTAAGCCCCGTATCCCGCATGGGAAGCCTGCGGGGCGCTGCCTCCTGCTTGCAGCCCCGCCAGTGATTCGTAACCGGGCTCCTCCTCCTGCTCGTCCCCGGGGGGCGAAGCGCTTCCCGCAGGAGAACCCGGGGCTGCGGGGGGCCGCCTCCCTCCCTGCGGCTGGATGGAGCCCGTCCCGCCGTGCCGTGAGGAGCACGGCTTTCGGCTGAGGCGGAGGGCCGCCGCCCCCGCTGCCCTGCGCCCAGGCCCGGCTCGCCCCGAACCCGGCACCCGCAGGGCGGTTCAGCAGGACGCGCGGGGGAACGGGAGCCGCGGGCTCCGTTTCTGTCGGGCCGTGGTTTTACTGGGTTGGGTTTCTTCTCGTCGGGTTTCTTCTCGGCTCGCCATGCAAAAATACTGACGGCGGAGATGGGAGAAGGGAGGGGGGGGGTGCGGAAAGTTGTGCTGCCGGCGGAGCTGCCCATCGCAGCGCAGCAGCTTTTTATTTGGAAGGCTGCTTCTGGTTACGACCGTGGCTCTTAGGCCTGATCCTGTGAACGCCTGCCTGTGCTCTTCAAAATCACCTTCCGGGGCACTGGCCCAGACATGCCACTACACATACGCGGGGAGAAGGGAAACCAGTGGAACTGGGGGCAGCAAAGAATTATCCAGTGTAAAAAGAGCGTGGGCAGCTGGGCCGGGCACGACGAACACCGAGCTCTGCATTTGCTGGCTTGCTTTGTTGCCCGTTGGCGGCACGCAGCCCTCCTTGGTGGCACTGAAGAATGTTGTTGAGAACGCTTTCAACAGGAGTTGCAGCCATATCAACGCTGATTTTTGTAAAATAGCATTACTTCACGCTAATCGTGCAATAAAACGCCTACGGTATCTGCCGAAGGAAGAGGTTGTCTGCGCCTTCTCCCCAAACTTTTGAACTCGAATTTCTGCTAAATCCGAGAGGCAGCGTTCACAAAAAGTTCCAACAACTTTCCTGAAAACCGGCAGCTGCAGAGGGAAGAGCGCCTGTCGTAGTGCTCTCTGGCACATGGCTGCAGGTGGGCAGCAGGCAGCGGGACGAGTCCTGCCCACCCGCACGGGGGAAATCGCTCTGCGAGGGCACGCTCTGCGCCCCGTCCCCCGGGGCTGGCAGGGGCCCAGGAGCGGGCTGCTCCCGGTGCTGGGTGCTGGCCAGCCGGTCGGGTGGCCGCAGGGTGCCCACCTACAGGGAGCGGCAGTTGTCACCTCACGGAAGAAAATCTTTTCTGCATGCTGGTACTTCGGAGCTCCCACTTCACTCGGTGGTTGGTTAGATATTAACAGCCCCTATATTTGGCTGACCGACCAAAAAAACCCCAGCCCATCAGGGCTTTTTGTTCAGCGGTTTCTCACAGCTCAGCAGAGAATCCCGAGGCACGCAGGCCTCGGGGAAGCTGTGGGGACCCCGGCGGCTCCCGGCAGCTCGCCGCTTCCGTCCCTCCTTGGTCCGTGAGCACGAACCTTTAAGGCTCGTTCGTGCTCTTGCAACCCACGCTGCGGCGCCGCGAGGGCCGCTGCAGGCCCGCCCTGACGCGCCGCTCCTCTCCGGCCAGCG